ACAATATCTTCATGCTGTATTTTGTTCAGGCAATAACTTTTAATGCACATTTGCTGGTCAGGGCGAGGTCTGATGGGTGAGGAGTGACAGGGTAGATGGGACAAGCAACCAGCATTTCATAAACAGCTCCAATGTTTGCAGGCACTGTTAAATCTTAGCAGTTCATACTAAAAATATACTTTTGGCACACTATTGACAGTCTTGTGGAATGAGTAAACTGCATTCTGTCATTGCTGTTCGGCAGGTAAGTATGCAGTTGTTGCTCTAAAGAATAAAAAAAAATAAATAGATGAACTGGGGCAGGGTTGGGGGGGAAGAAGCACTCTCACTTTCTCCCCTATGGCTTGGCTGTTCTTCGGCCATCATGAGCCTGAACTAATTTTGATGATTTTGTGTAAAGATCTTGTGTCTTGTCTGGATGATTAGCTGGTCAGTTACCAAAGAGCAAACTGGTTTTCCTTCTGTCAGATAATACTAAACATCCTTGTGAAAAGCATCTTGAATGTTAAAACAATCAGCAGTTCTGTAAGACACAAACACTGACACTACACAAGAATTAATTCTTGCAGAAGTCTGCTTTGTATTCAAATTGAAATGATATGCTATTTGAATAACATCTGTTAGGGGTTTTAGGTTGCGGAGAAACTCTGAATATTAAATATCCCAGTTAAATGGTCTAGCCTAAGTATGAAGTTACTTGGTTCAGGAGCCAGCTTGAATAGGGCTGTATCTGTGTCTCCTGCCCTAGGTAAACAGCTGATTCCCACGGACATCTGTTGCTCTCTTTGTACTCTGGTTAGCTGACAAAAGTGCTGCCCCTAATCCTGTTTCCTGAAAGCACTTATAATATAATAGGTATCCAGGAATGGGCATCTTCAATGAAGTTTCCATTTACCAGCTGACTGGAAGGTGGTGGGGGGAAGATTCAGGTAACAGCAGAGTTTGGTGCCCCTGTTCTAGTAACAGCATGACTTCCCATCGTATTTGTACAAGAAGAGCGTGTGTGAACAGACTTTTATTGTAGCATATGTTGAAGTCTGTATTACAGAAGCTGGTAAACACAACTCTGCTGCTAGAGCTGGGGTTTTACAGTGAAGGTTAACGGAATTACCTTCATTTTTTTTCTATATCAGGCTCATTTTGCGTCTTAACTCCAATAAAAATAAATGAGCTTTACAAGATACTGACTTTTTAAAAATCAAACTGTACAACCTTCTCTTGGGATTACTGCATCCATTTCTTTGTGTGGGAAAGAATTGTTTTTCATTAGTGTGCTGGTCAGAAAGCAGACTGCTTAGTCGGGTTTCATTACCCAAGTTCCCAAGAACTGGGAAAGAAGCAGTATTTTTAAGAAATTTTCAATTCAAATGTTTCCAGAGCCCAGTATAATAAATTGTGTTTATGATGGGCTACTATGGATATCGTATATATGTGAATTTCATTCCATGTTTAGATAGGGCAAACAGCTACATTACTATAAATTTTGCCTTTTCTGAAAAGTCATGTTGTATTCTTGCTTGTGTTTTCAAGCTAAAAAGGTAGCTAAATTTGTGGTCTCTAAACCACACTGAAATTTCTATTTACTTACAATCAGCAGCTTTTCTGCTCAAATATGTTGCTACAGAATGCACTTCACGTTATTATTTAAAAGTCAGCATATTTTATCCCTGGGCTGGTAAGCCTTCATTATATTTTAAGTGTTGTGCTAAGAAAATGAATACCATACTCACTGTTTACTGAGTGAAAGCCCACTGCACAAGTAACAAAACATGTACCTTCATTAGGACTAGGAATGCTTGAAGGAACCCACACGCATTTCCTGGGGTTTCCACCAAAGTGGGTATACAAGAGCATTATTAGTGACAATACTACAGTTCAGTCTGCTGCAATAACTGCAGTTATTTAAGGTAGTGAAATAGCACAGCAGCAAGACCATCAATTTGATGGTGACATTAAGTTATTCTTTGATACGTAAGGTAACTCTTTGGAATTGTGCCTTTAGTTTTAATACTTGCCCGAATGGTGTATTTGAAATAGGAAGCTTAATTTAGTTGAGAAATATTTGTCAAAATGTTGGAAGTGCAAGCAGGCAGTTAAATTAGACTGGATATGCATAACTGCAAGCAATACAGTTCCTAAAATTGCTTGTATCTCAAGAGAAAAATTGGAGTTGTGGGCAGGGTTTTTTTTCAGGTGGATACAAGAATTCAGGTTACTTTCCTTGTTCTTAAGTACACTAACAGATGGACTGAGTCATCTGTCTGATAGAAGTGTGGTCTTTAGCTTGCACTTTGTTTGTGACAGTTGCAAGTAATTTTTGGACAGGCTGTTTCTGCCCACCTGATATGGGATCTGACAGCTGTTTTGCCCACAAGGCCTCTGGATAGTTAAGTGAATTATTTTGATAGTAAAACTATAAATCTTTTAAAATTTGCCCCGTGAATGGAGAGTGCAGGAACGAGAATCCGTTTTTTTTTTAGACAAAGCTATTTATGACCATCTTAGCAATTATGTTGTCAGCCTCTAAAAATTAGAAACAGTCTGGGAGTGTGTATAATTCAGGAATGCTCTCTGGAAGGGCATGTACAAGTTTTTTCTTGACTCTGGTTCAGGGTTTCATGTTAGCTGTTGGAGGTCAGAAAACAAGAGCGAGTTAGTTGGCATCCTGCTTCGGGCCACTCTAGCCTAAAAGCCTTTTTTCTTCACTTCCATAAAAAGCAGAAACATTTTTCTCCCAGCACCTGTTTCAGTGGATGCTTTGCCCTAAGTGACGTCTCTGGTGCTGCCTTAGGCATGTGATTGGAAATACTTTGTAATGAGGGCTGCTTCTTGCCATGCCAGGGCAGCTCATGTGGAACTTTTATAGAAGTAGGTTATTGAACCACTGGATAGAGTCATTTGCTTTCATTACTAGAGAGAGCAAATGTATTTTGTGAAACAGATATTATTCCCTTCTTTGCTTTGACCTTTCATCTAGAATTGCTTTTGACAGTTCATGCCTGCTTCCACTCAGCAGTGGAGAAATCCACGTGCCAGCTCTTTAAACATCCAGGCATGTTTAGGTTTTGAGAGTGCTGTAGTGGTGAGAGAGAGCAGAAGATAAGTGCTTTTTGTGTTAGATTCAGAAAAAACTTGACTTCTAGTCGTAGCTCAAATTAAATGTAGTAAAGACTGAAGTCACATCAGCCTTGCTGAACTGTCAGCTGTGATGTTGGTTGGTGCCTACCTTGCTTCCCCACCCTACCTTGCCGTCCTAGTCCCTGGGAATTCAGTACAACTATTTTGTGTTCTTGGGCTATTAGAATCTCCCTTGGGATTAGTGTAGGAGTGAAGCTGCTTTTTACCTGCCTGTATTTAAACCTGCCAGGTGAGGAGCTACTGTTGTGTCCCTGCTGTGCTCTCCTGCCCTAACTTGCCATGGGTTCTCACAAACCTGGAGAAGAACATAGTTTGTATGGAGCTTTTTTGGTTGAATAACATACAGGAACTTTTTCCCATTTTAGAAACAGCTGCACCACCTTATTTTGCTTTTCAGATTTTCCAGCATGAGATATAAAAACGTGCATCTAAGTAATTGAGTCTGATTTGAAAATGCTCCGTAGCAATACTGGTTATAGAGGAAAATGTTGAATTTTACTTCAATTACTCCTAATAAATTGTTCTCCTAATTGCCAAACCTCTCCCCTGCTATCATGTATGACAAGTCTCCTTCACTGTAGCTGTTCTATGACTAATGTTAGAAGTGTTCCAGAAGAGAATGTGAATGTTGTGCTTACCAGCCTCTGGTGGTGTTATGTGGTGGTGTGTGCTGCTCCTAATGTTATGGCTCTGTAGGCACTTATGGGAGGCTTATGCTGCTGGGGAGGTGATGTGACATCTTTCTGGGTCTCCTGCCCAAATGCTGGTGACAGCCTGCTGGAGAAAACAGGACTGTTCAGTGGGATGTGAGATGATGTGTCAATCCGCTTCGGATTAGTCTTTCCAGCTGAACTGCTTGTAACAAGCACATGTTTTGGGAATCAATGCACAAGTTAATGTGAGGAATTGAAGTACGACTCTCTTGTCTCTGTGAGTAATCTTTAGACAAGGCTCATTAAAAGAAAACACAATGCTCAGGCAAAAAGAATAATCTGCTCTTAGTTTCATATATTGAAAATTCTCCAGGCAAAGCTGTTTTATGTAAAAGAAAAATAGTAAAAACAATTTCAGTTTAGTCCAAAACTGGTCTGCTTCTTTGCTAAGTGTGTGAGTTGGTGTTGTCTGTTTTTTCTTTTTTGTTTTTTTTTAAATTATGGTAAAGAAAGGTGCTGACACCAGGTGAAGTGTGGGAGAATGAAGTGGAAACTGATTGCACTCCAGAGGGTGATATAAAAATGCTACTTTGCTGGACTGGTGTGCTGCCAGAAATAACTTAAACTTTTGGTTTGCATCACAAACACAGTTGGAAGGGGTTTGTTTGAAATTGTTCTTTCATTGTCTTTTCTTCACAAATTTGAAATTTCTGTTTCCTGAACTGGATTACAAAGCAGTCTATACTTACTGCAAATTCCATACAGAAGGTTAGGCAAGGTTGTTGTTTATTGTAGTATACTTGCCACCTAGTTCAAAACAGGTGAACTTTTACAACTTGGGATGAAGCAGAATGGTAAAAGAGGAAGAGTAATCATTGGTATAGCTAAGACCTATATTATGCATTAGTTGCAGTTTTATAGCAAGTAAAGAAATATTTAAGTTTTCTTTTTAGAGGAAATAAATTTCTATGTATGTCCTTAAAGCAATCTCCTAAAATGTAGTTTAACTGACTGCTGTCAGTTTATTGCTGGTTACCATACAGTGAAAGCAGCTTTTAAACTGAAATGCTTTGAAGGCCATATAGTTAAGGCAGAGTTTTACTGTGGTCCCATCTGTCTAGTGGTGAACACTTTCTTATTCCAGTACATCCAGTATATACTGGATATACCTGGATATATCTATTATATATCCAGTATATAATGGATATATTATATACTGGATAGATCTGTTATGTACTGCATATATAATAGATATATCCAGTATATCTATTCCAGTATATTCCTGTATAGACCAGTGTGTCTTCCTAAGTGGTCATGTCTGCTAGAAGTTTATATTTTGTGGAGATTTCCATTAAGTTGCAATTTTTTCCTATCGTATGGGATTGAAAATGGAAGTACTAAATGGAAAGATGATTTAAGACTTTGTTGTAGTTCATGTATTTCCAACAAAACTTTCAATACTGCTGCATTAGTGGTATTTTTACTGGCATTGGTGGAAAGAGGTGGTTGGTAGTTTTAGGTTCCTTTCAGCTTTCTGGTTGGCTTTGCAAATGTGACTTAAGCATATGCTCTAAGTAAATCTGGGCATTGAACCTGGAAGTATTGCTGCCTAAAATCACTAGTTCTTCAAATAACTTATGTTGAATATGTGGCTTTTTTCAGGCTCTAAGCTTACAGCTCCAGATGAGCAAGAATTTTCCTTTTCTAGCTAGTGTATGTTTTTCATGTCCATAATGCATTACAGTGAACATTATACACTGCGCCTCATTTTGAAAACTTGTTTTCTCCCTGTATTTTCCTGTTACATAAAAATCTCATTGCCCTTTGCTTTCTTTTAAAAGCTTCTGTAACAGAGTCTTCTATAAACAGTGCACAGTGATGTGTACACCTTTTATTATACCTCCTATATTGAACTCGTGTTGGTATTTGAGGAGAATGTATGATCCATTTGGCAAGCCTTAGTCCATTAAACAATGCTGGCTCTTCTTTAAGAGTACCCTGCCTAAGTTTAATAAAACTGATATTTTTTTTAAAATCTTGTTTGATTTGTATTTAAAACTGTACACAGTGAAGCTTTCCTAGAAAACTTGTATGGTATTCTTGAATGCATTTGCAAAGCCTGTTTTTAGAAATCTGCAATTGGCTACTGTGGATGATGGTAAATGGACTTTACAACTGCAGAATAAACATAGTTACCTATTGTCTGAAATAGATGGTGTGGCCAGACTGACCAAACAGTGAAACCTAATCTAAATGAGCCTAATTTTGTCAGAGATAATGAATCAAAATAGTGAATGACAGTGCTAGGAAAATGATCAGTATTGAAGTTTACCATTTATATATGTAAGTTGATTCACTGAATGTGCTACTTAAGAACAGATATGGTTTGGTTTTCATTATGTACTACTCTAGCAGAAATGCTGATTTTTTTTTTTTAAATTATGATTAGAGGCACTTTTTTTCCTACTTCAGAATACTTCTGCTTTGATAGAAATGTCTGAATATAGTCAGAGATTATATTATATTTCAATTTATTGTTATACACCAATCTACTTAGTTGAATTGCATTAGTGTGAGTAGAACAGGAGGATGGTGCAGGAAGCGTCTGATGTATGTATATGAAACAAACATGTTTGGAACACAGGACTTCTTTCCTAGCCAGATATGAACCATCTGGTCTGAAGCTGAGTCTGGAGACAGTAGTTCTGTCTCTAGTAGTCAGTGCTTTTTCCCCCTTGGTAGTAGCCTGCTGTTTGGGGGATGAGGGAGGACATGAAAGACCTTCCAGTTCAGTGCTGTTCTGACCAAGAGAAGGCTGAGGAGAGAGGTCCATTTTGGAAAACTGTCAGGGAACCTGTGTCTGATCATGAGTAGGAGGATGAAGAGATAAATGATTAGAGCACTGGAGTAGTAAGTGTTTGAACTTAAGCTCAAGTTGTTCAGCTGTAGTTCAGCTGATTCTTTAGTGTTACGTGTTTTGGAGAGTAATTGAGAATGAGTTTCCTTGGGTTTTTAGCTACTGAGTGGAAATGCAGTAGTGGCTTTTGGATGAAGATTTTTACTTTGGGATTGAGGAAGAAGACCAAAGCAATAAACACATAAAAGAAGTCAGTCAAATAGATTTTGCATGTTAAGGGTCTCATGCTGCAATCTGAAGGATTGCAGTGGAACCATTGTTCTGGTTTCCACAGTGCTGTGATGAGTCCAGCAGCCTTTGGTGTGGTGACCAGCTGTGTTAACTGCATCATCTATGAATTATCCTCAGAATGATCCTCAGAATGATTACTGCTGCACTTTACATCTGACCTTGCTTCTAAGTTGTGAGGTGAAGAAATCTGGACTGCTACACTCAGGGAATTGATTTTGTATTCTGGCAGTATCTTTGAGTAGTCTGTTTGTACAGTCTGGGGGAATAGGGTGGCTTCAGGATTCTTCCTTGGCATAATAAAGAGGTGGCTTTGAAACCAAAGGGTATTCCTTTTATTTTGTGTGCCTATCTTAGTCACTGATAGAACAGGTCAGTGCTCCTGTAATTGTCACAGGAACATAGCTTCCAACAATAGCTAAATCCACAAATGGATGGCAATATGACAAACACAAAGGATGTCTTGCAGGTTATGAATGCTGTTGCTGTAGCTTTGTTGCTCTAAGCTTATAAACATGACAAAGGTTTTATAAGTCGAGGCAATACCTTATTAGATCACCTGCTGCAGTGGTGGGGAACAGGACATGGGCAATTGCACACGTCCAAGGGCTGAGTTCCTCAGAAGGCTGCACAATTATTTGGAGACACCATGTGGAGATTTTGTACTGTGTGGATTGTTGCAGGCACATTGCAGATACAGGTAAATGTTAGTGTATTTGTGATTTATTTTTTTAATAAGTAGCTCGTAGTTTTGATGTGTCACCTTGTAGCAATAGTTGGTGTAATTCTTATTTCAGAGATTAAGGAATTGGGTCCTTGAAAATAGGTTAGCAGCTGTAGGATCTACTTAAATTGCTATTTGTTTTTGTATTACTCTACAAAGATGATGTCTGCATAAAGGAAGTGGAGATTGCATTACAGAGAGCAATGTCAGAAAGTAAACCTGTGAAAATACTTTTCAAATGTCACTGTTTCCATGTAAAACATGGAGATATATTTTCCTTTGAAGCATCTGGCTACTGGAAATCACTGGCGGGAAAAGGATGCTTTGAATGCCTTTTTTAAGGAGCCCATCTCTGTTATTTTTGTGAAGACATGAACTTGGTCACTAGTGTGACTTTTGTATAGTAAATCTGTAAGATGCAAATAGAAGTGGACTGCATTGCAATGCTTGCAGCTTTAGGCATGACTAATGCTTAATAATACTTAATAGTAGGATTTTATTTTTCCCCTATTGAAATCCCCAGTTACCACAGGACAGAGGAGTGTACAGTTAAGCCAATTCTGAGTACCCTGGATATCTTGCCTTGAATTTCCATGCCTTCTTTTATTCTTTCTTAATGCAAAGCAAGTGACCTCTCCTCTTGCAGCGCTCCTGCTCCAACAATAAAAAGAACCTTGGTATGAAGACTGTTCATGTCACTTTGAGGAATGCTTGCAGGTTTGGTGGTTTGTGTAGTACCAGTCTCAGCATTCACCAGATTTTGAATCCATGTATTTGAAATCTCACTTTTTTCCCACCTGAACTGAGCTAACCTCCTGGTCCTTGAGTATGTCTGTGCTTGGGGTGGGTGTAGGGACTAGACTCATCAGGTATTTTGGTTGTAACTCTCAGGGAGCGTAGCCTGGTCTTGTCTTGGAATGGGGAGGGTGTTTAAGAAAGAACTAGCAAAGAAACAAAAACCTGAGAGAGGATTCTCTCCAATTTGCTGGTGCATATTTTTATATGAGGTATTGATTTCCCAGCCACTTGAGTGATTGCAATTTTCTTGATCTTTTGGGAACATGGGGAAATCTTGTGCGATTCATACTGTCTTACAAAAAACTTACCCATGGAGAGGCACAGAGTTTAAGTGTACGTACATTGTTATAAAAGCTGAAGATAAACTCATTTTAAATTCAAAGTAGTTTGGGTAGGTGCTCATTTTTATTATTTTGTAAGACAAAACCAATCCCCCAAACAAAACAAAGCAAAACCATTTAGAAATAGAGCCATAGACTTTTCTTTCAAAATTTGAGTGCCTTATTTTTTTTTACGTAGTATGACAGAAATATTGTAAAACAAGGAAAGCATTTCATGCTTAAGAATGGAAGTTTTGTGCATCTAAGAACTTTTTATTGGTCATTACTAAAGAATTAAAATGTTGTTGGCCATATGCACTGCAGCAGGGAATTTTCTCTTGGCAGCACTATACCCTCCAGCCACTAAAATGCACAGAGTCATTTTAATGTAGAACAGAGTAAATGCTGGAGATAGCATCTTTGGTGGACTGGTGACAAATGTTTATTCTGTGTCGGTTCTGTTTCTCAGGAAGACTGGGGTTAATTGTAGCTTGGCAAGTAAAAAAAAAAAAAAAGTTCCATATTGTTTTTCTGCAGTAGATTCCTGTTGCTATGCAACAAACAGAATGTCACTTAGTACAGGATATATTAAATTGGTATTCCCAGCACATATCTCTGCCCGTTCATTTTATACTTTAGCAGGAGGGTATGGTTCTGGCTTCCTGTAGCACTGGAGTATGAAGTCTGTATTTGAGCTGCTATTCTGGGGCTGCTGGAGCTGCCTGACGTCAGTGCACTTGCAGAGCCTCTCTTTGTTTTCGGATGGATGGGACACCTGTGCAACACAATCAGGCTTCCAAGCAGACAAAAAGGGGTGGTGGTTATCTGTTATCTTCCTCGAGGTGGGATGGCATTGCCAAGCAACGTGTTAACACTTCAAAAGGGAGAAATTTGTTATATGGGAAAAATACTGGGCTGTGAATTGTGATAGTCTTTATACGTGACGCAGATGGCACTATCTGAACCTTTAAACCAAAATATCTGCTTAAATTTATATTATTAGATTTCATGTTAATATTTGAATATGTTCATCCCTCCTCTGCTTACCTCCCCATTTTCCCCAGTGCTAAACCCAGCCAGTCTCAGCATCTGAATTCTGTACATTTGTTCTCAATGGATTCTGGAATAAATGTTTGGGAAAATTACTCTCTGTGGCCCTGGAACCAGTAATTAAGTAATGGACAAATGACAACATCTGGTAAGGCATTATTTTATAATCTAGTTAGTCTTCTGTAGTGGAAGACAAAGCAAAAGTAATATTGGAAATCTAGGAGGATGTTAATTTGATCTTTGCTTCAAAGTCAGTCAAGCAATATAGATGTCTGAAATACAGAAACTGGAAAGCTGAGGATTTGTAGTACTGTGGTTTTGTAACAAATGCATTGTGTCTCAGGTGCTGTGATGTTTGTACTATGTAATCATCTTATTTTAGTCAGTTTTCTGAATTTTCGTGTAGGATTTGAAAGACAATTTACAAAATCTAATCTGAAATTAAGATATGTACTTAAATCATCAGGTCAAATATTGTCACTTTCTTGCTCTTAGAACTGTCTAACATCTCTTTAAGACTGAAGCAGATTTGAAAGCAGCTTTTTATTTTAAAAAATACTATAGCAAATGTATTTATGTGTGACTTCTTAATAAACAGAAACCAAAAATAAAGAGTTGAAGTAAAGCTATGAAAAGATTCAAAACACCTCTCAGTACTGTTCTCTTGCTTGTTTTGCCAAGGGGTTGTCTCTAATCTATAAAGCATCATTGGGCAAGCAGCCTTTGGTAACACAAATGCCCTTCTTGTAGTCTGATGCTTAATTCAGACCTCAATGCCAGGGAGTTGTGTGCCTGTTCTCAAGGAGGCCCAATAAAAAACCTTTGTGTACACAAAGAGAACTTGATGCAACCTAAAAAATTCTTATGGCATTTGGTGAGATCAAACCTGAGCTTTGTCACAGAAATTATTTAAATACATGGACGGGGATGCTTGGGGCCGTTTTGCTTTCTGTTTTGGAAGAGGGATCTCTGCTTCTGTTGCACAACTGTTTGGTGAGAAAGAGAAAACTGCTTGTGACTCTCAATGCTATGATGGCTTGTTTCAGTTCTATCTTTTGACACAAGAAATAGTAGGAATTTGTAAAAATGTCTCCACTTGAGAAGGGGAGGCAGGATGAAATTTAATTGTGAAGATAACATTTTCATCTGTAACTTTAATGAAATGAACTTATTTTAGTGTGTAAATAGAGAAGTTCTAGAATATACCCAGGAAAGTGGGAAATTTGAGCTGTAAGTTTTAAGTAGTGTGCTGGTAGGCTAGTGAGGTAAATCTTGAAGGAACTCAGAGTAGAAAGTGGATGTTCTGAAAACACTCTTGTGGGAATAACTCTGATTAGAACAAAGAGCATTTAAAAGTTAGATTCAGGTGCTGTTCTGCTATAAATAGGGCTACAATAAAACAGTCAGCTTTTCATAGCCATCATCTTACCCCTCAAATTGAAATTAAGTTGGGGCAGATCTTTTAGATGTGATACCAGTAGTCCAAGGTTCTGTTTGGCTGTTGAAAAGAAATCAATACAGCCTTTGTGTATATGTGTGACACTACCCTGCTAGCCCATGGTCATTAATGAATACCTGTATGCATACACCAGATGCAGAATTTTCTCAAAAAGTATGTTGGAGCATGTTAATTATTTTATCCTATTTTTTCCTACTGTACAATAGAGTATGGACTCTTGTTTGCAGATAGAAATAGATGGTGGTTTGAAGCCTGCTTTGTGTTGTTTTTGTTTATAGTTTGTGTTTCTCTGTTGCAGAGGTTGGAAGGTCTCTAATGAATGAGATAGGGAATTGCTTGAAGGGAAGATGATTTCATGGACTCAGCTCAGTGTTTTCTGCAAGCACTGACTGCTTCTTATTTTTCAAAGAATTTTTGTCCTTTGGTGCTGCTTGAGAGTTGTCAGGGGTGTTCATTAGCTGTGTCCCGGCCTGTTTTCTTACTGACTAACTTAAGGCTGTGGGCTGATCTGTCAAAACATTAAATTATTCAGCATCTACCTTAGTCCTTCAAAGCAGAGAGAATCTTAGATGGCCACTGAAGACAAAGACTCCTAGATCATCTTTGATTAAATGAGCAATATCAGAAGATTTTGTGCACCAGTTGTTGTGCTTTAGCTCTCCCATGGAGGAAACAACTTCCCCTCTGTCTCTCCTTTACTTTCCTTTTGCTAATTTCTTAAAAAGAAGCTGTGCTCAAGTTTGAAGCTCTCAAATGCTATATTTTATGACACTGTGTTTAAACTGTGAATAACTTCTGAATTTGGTATTCAGAACAAGTTTTGATTAATGTGCAAAAAACGTCACTACACATTGAATAATGAAGAAACCTACTAGCTGTTCGTTTACTCCTCAGTTCATCTATCCAAAGTCAGAGGCAGTCTGAGAAAAAAGGTGGGAGGGGTGAGAGGAGTAAGTATGTAACTAAGACTTTTTAATGGTTTTACAACTGCAAGTCACTCCTTCCTTCATATATAAGCAACCAGAACTTTGCGGTGCTCTTAACTCATGTACTTTTTTTAACTTTGGAGTTTGTTTTTAAACCAGAATACAGTGTAATTTTTCATGTTCTTTAAAAATTGAAATAACAGGCCAAATATAATGTGCCATGGCACACTGAAAGGCACGTAGGTTTGGAACAGCTAATTTGTCAGCTGCATGTGCTCCCTAAAATCAGTGTAACTCTTGGTAGTTCTTGTCCCATTAGTAGAGCGTGCACATGGAGGAAACAAACTGTGATCACAACAAGGTGTGCTTGCCAGGAACCCAAATTCCAGGGATCTGTGGTCTCCTTGTACTGTACTTCATCAGAATTGCTAACTTCAGCCAAGCTGACATCCATCAATAGTTATCCATCAGCTTTTAAGACAGGATTGGAACACTTTGTTCAATGTCCTAGTGCTTTGTGTGGGTTAGACCTGGTGGCTTTCTCTGAGGGTGCTTTGGATTTGACTAAGTTGATCTCCCCTTTACCATACAGATAAAAGATGGGTAATGTTTACCTGACTGGGACAGTCCACTTCAGTGACTCCTTTTAGGTATTTAGATAATTGAAATACAATAAATGGTCTACAGTAAATAATGGTCTCCAATAAATGATGAGATGGGTCACTTTTGTGAGTTTTGGCTGCATGGCAGATGTAGGCCTAGTTATTAAGGAAGGTGGTGTTATGGTCCCTCAGCAGCAAGGAACAGCTTTTCAAAACAACTGTATACATTCTCTGCCTAAATCTTTGGAGACTCCAGAGAAAAATGATGCCAGAGATCATCTGGGCAGACAGATTTTTCCTGCAGGCTCTGATCTGTAGGTTGCAGTTTGGGTGCCTCATTTAAATGTATCTTTATTCTGAGATGGTATCACCTCTACTGTGAAACTTTTTCCCATTCTGAATTCTCCTTGGAGGTTTTGTCTCACTACATTATTTAAATCTTCATTCTGTGTATTAATGCTTCCATACTCGCTAACTGTGGATAGTACAGACCAGCTTATTCTCTCTGAAGCTATTCTAGTTATGTGAGGCTTTGAGTTTCTTCTGAGTCTTTTGAAGATTGAACTCACCAATTTCATTAATCTCTCATTGTGGTCTGTTTTTAGGACCTCCTGCCTGGAGAGTTGTTACTCTTCACTTGGTCCAACTCCTTTGGAAGCTAAGGCTGATTATGTCCAGCCTGTCATGTCCTGATTTTCATCTGTTCACTGGAATGTATCTAAACGTAGACCTGAATTTGTTTTTTCTGTCAGTCTTCCAGTATGCCAATATTAGTCAGAATTCTTACCCTGCTTGCATCTTCTTCTGGGCTCCTGTCCTCTCTGATGGCAAGAATACTCTTCCATCTCTTTATGGTTCTGCTGCAGCACAGGCATTGCAAAGCTACACTTGATATATTTTCTCTGAGTGTAGCATCTGGTGTCTGAATAAGGCTTTCAAATCTCCTTTCTGCTATCCTTACAGTAATTTTGTGTATACATCTCCTACAAAAATGCCCTGTGAATGCTGTGAAGAACGAAGTCATTTGACAGCATCTGCCCTCTGTAGTAATTAGTGTAGGACTCCAAAAGAACTGGAGGAAATTAGACTTTTTGACATCATTAGTTCATAAGTGGCATTGAAGATGCAATTGTTATATTTTAGCAGTTTTTACTAATAGTTTGTGCTCGTTTTTCTTGTGATTGAAGGTAAGCATAGGCTCTTTATAGACATGACAGCCTGCTTCCTTCCCCATTCAAAACCTCACATCTGCTCTGGGTATAACACTGGGCCATGGGCTTCTGCAAACCTGATTGACATCCCTCCATGGGCTGAGGTTGTGAACACCAGCTGAAATATAGTAGTTTTGTGGAAAATGATGCCGAGTTTCTCAGCTTGGAATTGTATCTCTTCAGTGTAAATCAGACAACTGCAGTCTCCTGAAAACTGAGGCTCGTAGCTACGACATTCAGGTTTTTCTCATGGGGAGAAGGTACATAGTAAATGCAGACACAAAATGTACAAAAAAGTCACCGGTTGTGGTTGAAGCTTGCAAATTTTTGCACAGTTGAGAACATGAGGTTTGTAAAAAGCAGTGTGGAGCAATCTGATGCTGGTATCACTGATAGTACTGCAGAGAAAAGACTAAAGTGTAAAGGATGAGAGTGGTGTGAGCTCCCCTGGTAATGCTCAGGGATCGCTTTGTGAATGATTACCCTCTTGGGATCCAAGCAGGGTGGACCAGTTTTTGGGGTAAAATGTTGGGCTACAACCTACTGATGATAGCCTGGAAGAGGGGTGGAGGTTGGTTTTGCAGGAGTAACCCTCTTTTTACTATAAACTCTTCTTGCTGTAGTTACAGAACTGCACTGTGCCTCAGATTTTGTTCCCTTACTGTGGTACCAGTGTGTTGCAGGCACCTGATTAAAATTCTTTCAGTCTGGCCCACACTGTTGTTTGCTGCAGTAAATTGTAGCAGAATCTTAAATATGCTCTCTTCTAAATCTTAACTTTGCTCTGACTTTTAGCAGAAATTCCATGAAGTATGAGAATGAGGTGTATTGTCTGTCACAAAAGAAACCTACATAGCTGAGGAACTTTTAAGGA